TCTTTCTTTCTTTCTTTCTTTCTTTCTTTCTTTCTTTCTTTCTTTCTATCTATCTATCTATCTATCATTTATCTTGGAGAACTATGATAGGCTAAACATTTATTTATAGTTTTAATTAAAAATAAAATAGCTCCACTAATTATATTCCTTCTTTTTTCCCTGTTCCTTTGCTACGTAAAAACAAGCTTAGTCAATGACTAATATTGCTCAACAGAAACCTTACCAGATTTCTTCCCTAAGTTAACTTATCTGGGTATTTATGTTCTTATCACCAACTCATCTGCCTTGCCTGTTTGCAGAGTTTTGCAATATTGCAAACACTATTCAGAATTTAAAACTGCCAGGCCTTGTCTAGGAACCTGTAGTTTGATGAGTCCCTGAAACAAACCATCAGGTTTGTTCGAATGTTGATTCTTGTTTTTCATTATCCTTTTTGGTTCACACTCCTCATTCACGTATTCTTACCACCTATTTGTTTTTAAAAAGAAATTGTTATCATTCCAATGAAATAAATGGGATGCCTCGGTGATTGTAGAAGACCATTTATAGAAGGAAAAGAAAATGGTGACGAAGAATTACTGCAGGGGTCATTCTCAACTCATTCTTGTTTTCACTGGGACAACTTCTCAGCTCAGTCTGTCCATCCAAGTAGATTTAGACTAGCTCCACTGGGGAAATTTATCACTGACTTGTTGGTTTGAAATATTCACCACCAAATTATTATCTGAAAGAATTCATGGTGGGTTACAGTCCATAACAAGGCAGGAAAAGCCTTCATAGAGCATGGCTTCTGGAATTCCTCCCCAAACCCTTCACCAACAGGGGCCATAGGAGCTGTAGGCATTTCTTTCGAAATAAGGGGTGTCAAACTCGATCTCATTGAGGGCCACATCAAGATTGTGTTTGACCTCGGGTGTGGCTGAGGTGGGCATCGTCAGCTCAATGTCACTCATCGAGGCTCCATTTCGGCTGCAATGGCCTCCTGCAGCCTCTGCTAGCCAAAATGAAGCCCAGGAAGGCCACGCGTGGCCCATCCGGCAGAGGTGGTATCCAGCAGGTTCTGACCAGTTCTGGAGAACCGGTAGTGGACATTTTGAGTAGTTCGGAGAACCAGAAAATACCACCTGTGACTGGCCCCGCCCCCATCTATTCTCCACCTCCCAAGTCCCAGCTGATTGGCTGGGTTTTCTTTGGTTGCCCTGCATAAGAGAACAGAGCTGGAAAGCAGGTTAGTGGGGTGGGGAGGAAATGGGGATTTTACAGTATCCTTCCCCTGCCACACTCACCAAGCCATGCCCACAGAACCGGTAGAAATTTCTTTTTGAATCTCACCACTGCCACCCAGGCTCTGGTTTTGGCCACAACACCCTCCTGCAGCCCTTTGCCAATGAAAATGGAGCCCGGGGAATCCATTTTGCTGCCAGAGGGTTGTAGGCCATCGTGGTTGAAAACGGAGCCCAGAGGAGGCCACATGCAGCCCTCCCAAGCTCCATTTTTTTTCTGGCAGAGGCACTGCAGGTTAGTCCTTCACTGCTTCCAGAGTGGTCCCGTGGCCGAGATTTAAGCACCCCATGGGGCCTTGCGTTTGACACCCCTGTTCTAGATCATAAAGCAATGTAATGAATCTCTAGAAATATATGGGTACTTTCCAGTGGTGGGATTCAAATTTTTTTACTACCGGTTCTGTAGGCATGGCTTGCTGAGTGTGGCATGGCTTGGTGGGCATGGCAAGGGAAGGATACCATAAAATCTCAATTCCTTACCAACCCCACTAACCTGCTTTCCAGCTCTGTTCTCCTGTGCAAGTCAACAAAAGAAGACCCAGCCAATCAGCTGGGACTCGGGAGGCAGAGAATAGATGGGGGCGGAGCCAGTCATTTGCCAGTTCTCCTCAACTACTCAATATTTCCGCTACCGGTTCTCCAGAACTGGTCAGAACCTGTTGACCACCACCTCTGGTACTTTCCTTCTCAGAGATGAATCAGGATGTTCACCTGGGTATTGTCTCTAAGTATTTGTGTGTGAGATGGTCTACTTGGGATAATGTGAGCAATATTGTGTACATCTGTTCTGGGCCTTCCTTCACGTTGTATCTGTGTGCATTCTTGGTGTGCGTGCACCAAGAAGCACAAATAGGCTGCACGTACTCCACTCTGGCTGTGTGATCAAGAAGGATGTTGCAGGGGACTTCTACTGGGCAAAGAAATGTACTGAGGTAATTTTATCTGAACTATTTTCTTCACACCCACCAACGTAATCTGGCTCATTTTTCAGATTCGATTTGTCTGTTACTCTCTTCTCTCTGATTTAGCCCTCATTCCATTCAGCTTTTGGAAAATGACTCTGTTGTCGGACAGACAAGAGTCTTAAATCCCTTTACATAATTTTCCTTCCAAAATTCTCTTGGTTTTGGAAACAAGGATAGTTGTGTAAGTGCCAAACAGAACGAACTAGCAATTTAGGCTGCCAGGACTGCATTGTGTCTGGCATGTGTAAATTTCCCTGACATTGTATGCCGTGCGCTAAAATAGAAATAAATAGGTGTGATAACTCTCATGGATGCTTCCCCAGATATCTCTCCAGGTGTCCGTTTGGAAGTGGGTGAACCATTTTCAGGCATGTCTGGAGGGGAGTTGGTCAATGGCTCCAAGCAACCCCCGGAGAGTGATTTTGGCTGAAGCACTGCTGAGGCAGGATAGCCCTGAGGCTTCAGGTGGGGAAAGCATGCAGCTGCAGCCAGTCAGGGATGAGGAAGAGGAACTGCCTTCTGCAACTGATCCAAGAACACGCAGGGCAGAGAAAAGGCAGGAGCAGAACACGTCAGCCAGATTGCTTGAAAGGAGGAAGCCTCGTCCTTCTTGATGGGCTGTGCCAGAAGCTGGCTCTTTAGAACAGCAGACAGAGGCTGGACACAACATATTTATTTCCTGTGTTTTGTCTGGTGGGTTGATCTTGTTTGGGAAACCCAAACTTGCTTTTTCAGGAGGCAACTGGACTTTCTTGTTTTTTTTTGCCTTTGAAGACATTTCACTTCTGATCCACGAAGCTTCTTCAGCTCTGTTGGATGTGGGGAATGGAAGGATTTATCGTCCTTGCAGACAGCTGGTCATTTGCATCCTTTTAGAGGGTTGTTAAGGCCAGTTGGAAGCTTGCTTATCTGTGTCCTCAGGGTCACCAGCTGTCTGCAAGGACTATAAATCCTTCAATTTCCACTATCCAGTCAGAGCTGAAGAAGCTTCTTGGATGAGAAGCAAAATGTTTTCAAAGAAAAAAACCCCATAAAGTCCAGTTGCCTCCTGAAAAAGCAACTTTGGGACAGTCATGACCTGGATGACTGAGAATGTCCATATATTTGTTTGGGAAACTTTCAAGTGCCTTGTGGACTCATTGGCCATTGCTCTCTGGACTAGCCTTGGTCTGTTTTTGGCTGAACTTAATTGGCTTCTGGGTTTGGGGTGAAGGAAATTGCTGGGGAATATTAATAAACCACTGTTTATTAATATGCTAAACCACTGTTAGTTACAATAGGGTCAAAAAATGGCCCCTATCAATAGACCAGCCTTTCCTAATTAATCAGGAATACATGGAGTTTCATAGGATATCGCAGAAGAGAATGAAGCCAGGCCAAAGTCTCAATATGGAATTTTGCGAAATAAATGTAATTATATTTACTCATCATGAAATCAGGAAGGGCTAAGGAGGTATCTACTGAGTTTTCATCTTGAAAAAGGTATGTAGAGTTGGACCTTTTTAGTTCTTGTGTGAGAGAACAGGATTAATTGAATCTAAAGTTTCGATAATGAGAAGCTGAAGATGACTTCTGAGAAGATGACAGTGGAAGCTGCTGCCAAAATCTACATGGATATGTCCATGAAGTTATCGGAAATTTCTCTCACTTCAAATGAACTTTTCTTAAACCCAGCAACAGTCTACTTGCAATCAAAGACAGTGCGTTAAAAGAGTGCTAGTAACACTTTCTTGGTACTACTCCTTACTTTGTTCTACTACTATGTAAAGAGCAACTGTTGGTAACAAAGAACATTATCTTGCTATGCAATGGATGCAAAATGACTCTGAAGTGTTAGGTCTACTTTGCTCATTTCCAACTGCACTCAATATGAACAGATGGCTTCCAATTTATTTAAAATAACTGAACAGGGCTACCTTGATAAATAAACCATAATCTTTAGTGTAGCTCAGAGGTGGTATTCAGAAGGTTCTGACCAGTTCTGGAGAACCGGTAGTGGAAATTTTGAGTAGTTTGGAGAACCGGCAAATCCTACCTCTGACTCACTCTGCCCCATCTATTCTCTGCCTCCCGAGTCCCAGTTAATTGGCTGGGTCTCATTTGGTTGCCCTGCACAGGAGAACAGAGTTGGAAAGCAGGTTAGTGGGATGGGGAGGGAATGGAGATTTTGCAGTATCCTTCCTCTACCACGCCCACCAAGCCATGCCACTCCACGCTCACAGAACTGGTAGTAAAATTTTTTGAATCCGACTACTGGTGTAGCTGGTCTGATATGAGGACTACTTATGTTGGACATGGCTTAGAAATTTTGTTCCTTGGTGGTTTCGTCTCTCTATACAGACCTCAATAAAAAGGATAAACCTGGATTTCTACACTTTGCATACATGTATAGTGTCTGATGATGTATGTCTACACATAAATTGGAACGAGTCTGATAGCTACCAAAAGGAAAGTTAAAATAATACTGGCAGTTAAACATTTGAACTGCAGCTGACCTCAGTGAAAACATGAAGTAGGAAGTATAATTTTAGAAACAGCCTACTACTGAACCTTGACAAGATTAAATGAATACGGATCATAATGGGTGCAGATGACTCCAGAAAGTAGATGATAACAGCTGACAGCCAAAAGATATCTGGACCCTATTTAAGACCCTTTTTATTCTTTTTAAAGTCTAGCTCAACAGGAGTTATCTCTGTAAAACCGTAGTTTGTGCAAACAGCAACAGCTATAATGGTTTTGATCTGCCAATGAATCTTCAAAGCAAATGGACCACATGTATCCTTCATTTGAGGAGCTGAGCATTCAAAATGTGTGGATGTGAAGAAAGGTCTGGTTTTCCTTGGAATAACTTGTTTGCCCAATTTCTCAGCACATGTGCAAGTTTGTCCATGAATGCAGCACCAAGCTCTCATAGGCCTTGGTTAGTAAATCAAGACCACACATCCTGCTTTGCATACATGCAATTAAGGAGTAAATGTGTGCATAAATTCACTAAATGCTCAATGCATGGAGGAAAATTATTTCTGAATTTTTTTTCAGTGAGTTGTTTTATCTTTTTCTGTCAAATTCCCGTTAATCACAACATTGCTTTAAAGAAATTAAAACTAAGCAAGGAACATGTAATTTTGAAAGCATTTAATTCTGAAAGAAAGGCCATAATAAGGTGGAAAACCCAAATTGATTTTAGATGATCAGAAAAGATGGAACACCGAACATAGAATAATAGGGTTGGAAGGGACTTTGGAGGTCTTTTAATCCAACTAGCCTCCCCTGCTCAGGGCAGGAGATCCTATACCAGTGGTGGCTAACCTTTTTGGGCTCCTGTGCCAAAAATTGCAAGTGCACTAGCACAACCGCACTCACATGCTAGCACCCAGAATGCAATGTGCGCCCACACACCCCCGGCATATGCGTGTGCAATTCCCTCACACACACCACCCCCTTACCTGCACTGCACCTCTCAGCTGATTTTTCGGCCTCCCAGAGGCTTGGAAAAAGCCTCTGCAAGGCTTCTCAGGCCAAATTATAGGCCTGTGTTGTCACTTCCGGAATTACAGGAAGTGACAAAACGGGCCTATAATTCGGCCTGAAAAGCCTTGCAGAGGCTTTTTCCAAGCCTCTGGGAGGCCGAACAAGGTCTCAAACCAACCAATCAAAAAAAAAAAAAATCAGCTGTGAGGCGTGCGCATGCTCAGTGAGGTAAGTTTGCCTGCGGCTTGTGTGCCAGCACAAATGGCTCTGCGTGCCACTTGTGGCATGCGTACTATAGATTTACCGTGATGGTCCTATACCATTCCAAACTTTCTTTGGGCTTGATGGGATGGATACATAGAAAGAATAACAGAATCATAGAAAGAATAACAGAATAACAGAACAGAATAATAGAGTTGAAAGGAACCTGGAGATCCTCCAATTCCACCCCACCCACGCAGGAGACCCTATACCATTTCAGACAAATGGTTCTCCAGTCTCTTCTTAAAAAGCTTCCAATGATGCAGCACCAACAACTTTCAGAGGAAACCTGTTCCACTGATTAATTGCACTCACTCTCAGGAAATTTCTTCTTAATTGTAGGTTGGATCTCCCTTTAATAATCTTTCACCCACTGCGTCTTGTCCTGCCCTCAGGTGCTGTGGAGAATAAGTTGACTCCTTGTTCTCTATCAAGAGTCTTCAAACTTGGCAAGTTTAATACTTGTAGACTTCAACTCCCAGAATTCCTGAGCTAACATGACTGGAGGAAGAATTCTGGGAGATGAAGTCCACAAGTCTTAAAGCTGTCAAGTTGGAAGACCGCTGCTTTAAATTCTTTCAGATTCTTTAGATAAATATCAGAGAGATAGAGATAGATGGATGGATGGATGGATGGATGGATGGATGGATGGATGGATGGATAGATAGATAGATAGATAGATAGATAGATAGATAGATAGATAGATAGAAAGGTAGGTAGGTAGGTAGGTAGATAGATAGATAGATAGATAGATAGATAGATAGATAGATATTAGATATAGATAGATGATATATAGATATAAATATATAGAGAGATAGAGATATACAGATAGATAAAGAAATATAGAGATAGATGAGAGAGAGAGAGGGAGAGGTGATTTTGAGATAGAGATAGATAGATAGATAGATAGATAGATAGATAGATAGATAGATAGATAGATAGATAGATAATAGACAGACAGACAAACATGGAAAGCCCTTTACCACAGACCAAGGGTCTTCACACTTGGCAAGTTTAAGACTTGTGGACTCCAACTCCCAGAATTCCTGAGCTAACATGACTGGAGGAGGAATTTCAGGAGTTGAAGTCTACAAGTCTTAAAGCTGTTAAGTTTGGACTCCCGATCTACGTGATAGTCCCTCAAAGTACTGGAATATTGCTCTGATATCATCCCTAGTCTTCCTTTTCATTAGACTAGACGTACCTAGTTCCCTCAATCATTCATTGCACGAATTAGCCTCCAGGCCCCTAATCATCTTTGTTGCTCTTCTCTGCACTCTTTCCAGGGTCTCGGCATTATTTTTGTATTGTGGTGACCGGAACTGAGTGCAGCATTCCCAGTGTAGTCTCACCAGTACAGTATGACGTGGCACTATCATGTCATGTGATACTATCCCTCTGTTGAAGTAGCCTAGCTAGATGTTCTAGGTTTCTAAGCTAGCATGGGAAGTGAAACAAACAAATAGTGGAATGGAATAGCAACAACTTCTGTACCTCCGTGCAGAAAATTATCTAGCTGGATCCAATATGTATTCAGCCATTAAGTTTGATTCATGGCAGACTTTATTATTTTATTTTTTAAAAAATCCCACAGTATAATCTAAATATAAGTTAGAGGGAAAATGATTACCTGCCTCTGAAGCAATCAGATTTTCAATGTTTTCTCGTTCCCGTTCATCATGGTTAGCCACAGTGCTGCCACTTTTTGTCCTTCGAAGGGCATTGAGAGCTCTGTTTATCTTTTTAAAAGACCTGCTTCGTACGGTAGAACGCTCAAATTGTGAAGTTGCGGCTGAAGAGGAAGAAGACAGAGAATTGGGCTGAATTCCGGAAAATCTTACTTATTCCAAAGTCTGCTAAATGAAGATAACCTAGAAGCAAGGAAACCTTAAACCTTATTCCATCATTGCACAAGAGCCTTAGTATATGTTAGCTGGTGGAAAGTCAGCGTAACATAGTAGCTTGGTGTTAGAAATTCTGTTTATATAAAGCAGCACATAGATCAAACAGTACAGTCACCATGTGCTTTACTGCTCAACTATTTTACTGTAACAGGAAACAGGAAACTCTGTTAGAACAAAAGAACATAAAGCATATATACCGTCAATCCAAACATGTAAATACTGCCATCTACTGGCTAAATACTACTGTAATTGTTGCATAAAAATACATTCCAACAATGAATTCCAACACTTGAGTATTAGACGTGGACAACAAATAAATTCAAGTCCACACTTCAAGGGTGAAATTCAACCATCTTGCAGCACCTCGGAAGAGGTGGTAGGGACAATTTGAATCGGTTCAAAGAGGTGGCACGGACAATTTGCATTGGTTGGCCCCGCCCACGCCTGCTCACCTTCTTTCTTTTAGAGATTGAGTCCCACCAAGCCACGCCCACCAAGCCACGCCCACAGAGCCAGTAGGGAAAATTTTTGAATTTTACCCCTGCCACACTTGTTCACACTTGTTTAGTGGGTATTACCAAGCCACATCTGTCTTATAGGATATTGTATCTCTCTCATAGTCATAAAAACGAAGGACAATGCTGTGTAAAAGTGCATGGAGGAAACTGAATGGATGAATGAATAAATGAGTAAATAAATTTCATGGAAATTTCCAAAAGTAATGTCTTGCAATGACATAGCAGAATGTTATTTGGACCATCATCAAAGATAAAATGATGGGAACATATGCTACAGTCAGTTACCAAATGTGTATTTAAAATATATTAAATTAAGAAAAGATCCTTTGGCAGAAAACTACAATACTTCCTCCAAGTGCGCTAGAACAGCCCCTTATCCTTCACAACAACTCCACAAATTTCAACAACATTCTTTAAATAATATACATGAATATTGTGGATATTCAAGAATTCTGCTTAGTCTGCATTTCAAAGTGAACTTTGAATCTCAAGAAAGTTAGATTAGTTTTGCAAGGCAATTCTTAGCTTGGAGAAATAACAACATTCAAATAAAAATGTGAACTTCAACTGTTAGTGGCATTTGGAATGAACTTTCAGTTTGTCCAGTCTTTTGTATATCCAACAAATCAACTTGGAAGAGGGTGTAACCTCTTAGTACATGATTTTAAGACCCATGGGGACAATTATCAAAAGGAGAAGCTGCCAAGTGATTTATCGTTTTCTTTCATTGTTTTATTTAAATCCCACCATGTCTTCAAAAGTTCATAGGAGTTTTCCTTCATTTTATTTTCAAACAGCCTTGGAAAAAAATGATTAGGGCTAAGAGAGTAACCAACCCAAAAATCACTCAGTGAATTCCCACGGAAGAGGGTGAATTTAAAACTGCGTTTACCCTGTCTGACTTCTTAAACCACTGCTTCATATTGCTTCATAAATGTAAACCAACTTTAGATGGTGCATAAAGCTGGAAAGAATGATGTAGCAGTATGTGATTAGGCTTAAATAAATTAAAAACGTATTCTATATTGTTAGATGTCAGATGGAAAGCATATAGAGCAAACAGTGAAGAGGGCACCAAATAATTAAATGCAAATTTCTTTGTAATGTCTGAAAGGCTAAAGGTTCCCCCTGTGCTAGTCATTTCTGGCTCTAGGGGACAGTGCTTCTCTCCATTACAAAGCCGAAGAGCCAGCGCTGTCCAAAGACGTCTCCATGGTCATGTGGCTGGCATGACTAAACACCAAAGACGCATGGAACGCTGTTCCCTTCCCTCCCAAAGCTGTCCCTATTTTTCTACTTGCATTTTTACATGCTTTCGAACTGCTTGGTCGGCAGAAGCTGGGACAAGAAACGGGAGCTCACTCCGTGATGCGGTGCTAGGGATTCGAACCACCAAACTGCCGACCTTTCTGATTGACAAGCTCAGCGTCTTAGCCACTGAGCCTTCGTCTGAAAGGTTAGAGAAGTCCTATTCTTTCAAAGTTTCAAAAGTACTTTTAATGTTCGAGTCCATTTAGCGTACAGGCAAGTCCTCAACTTATGATGATAATTGAGCGCAAAGTTTCTGTTGTTAAGCGAGATATCCCTAAAGTGAGTTTTGCCCCATTGTATAACCTTTCTTGGCACCGTTGTTAAGTGAATCACTGCCATTGTTAAGTTAGTAATATGGTTGGTCAAGGGAATCTTGCTGTCCCACTGACTTTGCTTGTCAGAAGCTCCCAGAAGGGGATCACGTGATCCCAGGACAGTGTGACTGTCATAAATAGGGGTCAATTGCCAAGTATCTGAAGCAGAGGTGGGTATTCAGCAGGTTCTGACCGGTTCTGGAGAACCGGAAGTGGACATTTTGAGCAGTTCAGAGAACTGGTAAATGCCTCCTCTGACTGGCCCCGCCCTCATCTCTTCTCTGCTTCCCGAGTCCCAGCTGATTGGGTGGTTGCCCTGCACAGGAGAACGGAGCTGGAAAGCAGGTTAGTGGGATGGGGAGGGAATGGAGATTTTGCAGTATCCTTCCCTTGCCATGCCCACCAAGCTACGCCTACAGAACCGGTAGTAAAAAAATTTGAATCCCAACACACACACACACACACACACACACACACACACACACACACACAAATCCAGTTTTAGCAATACAGTACTAACAGCCTACTAGTCCAATACAACATTCCCTGGATCTTGCTTCATATATAAAATAGTACTGTATAATGTATTTACAAACTTAAACATTCTCAACTCAAAATTAAATCAGAAGTAATTTTCGTACATGGACATAAGTAATTGATCCCCAATATTTGATCTTCATGGCATAACTACTTCCTTCTCCTGATTTTTTATTTTTGCTTTTCGAAAAGCTGCGTTTTGCACATTTATAGTGTACTGAGTCGCACATAAGCAGCACAGAATGTTTCCTGGCTTACAAAATTTAACAAAAAATGTGGCCATTTAGAAACAGGTCTAGTGCATCAGAAGTGCTATTTAGCAGGTTTTGACCCGTTCTGGAGAACCGGTAGTGGAAATTTTGAGTAATTCGGAGAACCGGCAAATCCTACCTCTGACTGACCCCGCCCCCATCTATTCTCTGCCTTTCATGTCCCAACTGATCGGCTGGGTCTTCTTTGGTTGCCCTGCACAGGAGAACGGAGCTGGAAAGCAGGTTAGTGGGGTGGGGAGGGAATGGGGATTTTGCAGTAAGCTTCCCCCAGGACTGGGGAGGGAATGGAGATTTTGCAGTATCCTTCCCCTGTCATGCCCACAAAGCCACACTCACAAAGCCACACCACGCCCACCAAGTCACGCCCACAGAACTGGTAGTAAAAATGTCCGAATCCCACCACTGTACTGCATCCAAGATGCTCCCCTGCCGGGGCTCTTACTTCTAGGTTGCTGGCTTATATAAAGATTGGTGGAGTTGGTTCTTGGTGGGATGTCCTCAAAGTTGGCATTGAAAGCAGGATTAATTAGCCCTGGTTCATCTGTCATTAAGGCAATTGTGGCAGCAGCAGAGAAATCGGATTCACAAGCCGACCCTGTTAAAGCAGCATTCAAATCTGGAGATCCCGCTGGGGGGCACCTCTTCCTCTCCTTGGTGAAGCCATAATGAGATGCCCCTTTGCACCTAAGGAAAATTAAAGACAACAGAACTTAAAACAAAACAAAAACTACTCAAATGAACGGAGACAAGTAACTTCTTTAACAAAGTCAACATGTTGGGGGGAAAAATGGCACTGAATGAACTTCCCATTTTTAATTTTCAGCACCGTCCCCAAACGAAGAAGCATTAAGAGGTATTAGCCGATTACACACAGTTTTATTTTTTAAAACTACGAATACAAATGAAGTAGATAGAGGCCATCTAGAGAAGTGGTCGCCAACCAGTGGGCCGGGGACTACTGGTGGTCCATGAGAAAATTTGGGTGGTCCGCACAGAAATGTCACTCCCAAAGGAATTAATCCAGGCTATGCGGGAACACAAGGCTGTGCTGCCCACATGGCCCATGGGAACATAAGGCTTGCGTCCCTTGCATCGTGAACAACACGAAGTAGTGAGGGGACGGTGGAAAGGGCGGAGGGGGGGAACTTGCCCCACTTGTCCCACGCACCTCACCTGGCCACTGGGCTGCTTCTTTCCACTTCTTTCTTCTTCTGCTTTTGGCTGCAAGCAAGGAAAGCAGCAAAAGTCTTTCTTTCTTTTCCCCAAACTCCAGAAATGAGTCTTTGGGACTCTGCAAGGCATCCTACTCCAAGAGGCTACACCATTCTGGTGCAGTTTGGGGGAGAGAAAGAAAGACTTCTGCTGCTTCTGCTGTTTTCCTTGCATGAAGCCAAAAGTCTGTGTGTGTGTGTGTGTGTGTGTGTGTGTGTGTGTGTGTGTGTTTCTCCCCCTGAGAACGGAGCTGGAGACGATATCCTGCAATCCCAAATAAAGAATGACCGATCGGTAAGAAAACGGGGTGGGGAATTTTCCTGCAGATTTTTTTGGGGGATTTTCCCAGGGTCCCTGGTCCACGGGATTTAAAATTATGAGTTTGGTGGTCCCTGAGATCCAAAAGGTTGGCGAGCCCTGATCTAGAGAGAAGGTCTGAGGATAGACTTGCAAAACAAATATATGAAGGAAGGAAGAACGAATGGGCCAAGAAGAAAAGGAAGGCTCTATAAAAGTTGAGCTTGAATGGAGTTGCCAAGATCTTGGAAAAAGGGAGCGGTGAGAAGTTTGAAGAACAAAAGGCAAATTATGAAGCAACTGTGCATGAATGAAGTGACAATGATAGTTTGCAAGGAGGGTGAAATATGAAGAACAGGAAATGGCAGTCTGAATTAAAATCTAGTCATATTTCCTTTCTTTTTCTCTTTTGTCCCTCACCTCACTTGTTTTTCTTTCTTCCTTTTTCACTCTTTTCTCCGCCCTTTGAGCAAGTGCTGACTCTGCCAGGGAGTTGTGTGATGGACAGGCAAGTATGTTTATTATAACCGGCAACGCTTGAGGGCCGGGGCATCTTTTCCTAGGTTTTCGCAGGAGCGGAAGAGCAGGGGAAGGTCCCCTCCAGTAAGGAGGGTTTACATGATTAATTCACACCGAAAGCCTCCTTTTCCTAAGGAGATCGAGTTGGGGAACACAGGCCCAATTGTAGCAGGAGTTTCGCTGGATCGGAAACAGAAAGACACTAAGCTAGCCTGGCAGGTGACTGACCCAAACAACGGAGAGGGTTATAATCGTTTTTTTGTCTCTGGCTAATGAAAGAGAGCAATGTGTTTGGCCAGAAAGCTTGATTGCGTCAGCTGATGTTTGAGGAAAGAATAAAGCTACTCATATTGGCGGCTGCCATGTCCCCACCCCCCCATGCTAAATGGGGACTGTCATAGCAGCCGTGACTTCACCAGGGGCCTAACAGCTGCCCGCCAGATTTGGGATTCCCAGTGTTTTTTTCCCCAAAAGACTGTTCCAGAAACAATTGGAAATAAACCTGTTTGCTTTGCAGAATTCAAATGCAGATTTAGTCTAGCTAACAAAAGGGCCTTCATGTGGGCCCCCTTTCCCCCCCAGAAGTCAAGTGATTATTTTTCTGTCTCTTAGTTATTTCAACTTTTCAAATCACCGGCTTTGTTCTTTGCGAGGCTTCTGTGTCTATTGGAAGCTGCAAAATATATGCAATCATGATTGCTTTTAGAACACGCTTTCCTTTCTGGTGATTCAAGCGTAAGAGTTGCATTTGTGGGGTAGAGGGGCTGACTTAAGCCACCCACCCAAATTCTTCTTCCCCCCAAGGGATTCTTGAATCCTGAACCAAATTTTAGGGCAGTTGGTTTGCACACTCGCCCATTAATATAATCAACTTTCAGTATAAATATTTTTGGGATGTACACATGGTAGATATTTAAGCAGCAATTGCACAGAAATAGAAAAATAACAAGATCATCTTATTAATTTATTGCAGACAAGCTGATTTCAATAAAATTGCCCTGTAGGCACTACGAACATCCGATGGGCTTCCTGTTATGATCTCAAGGACTTGAAAAGTTGATAAGGAATTTTGTGGATGCTAACTGGCCCTCAAGCTTGGAAGGAGTTTAAAGCAACTAGCAATTTTTAACTGGACCCCAAAATAAACCCATTGCCACTAAATCAGAGGTGGTATTCAGCAGGTTCTGACCAGTTCTGGAGAACCAGTAGCGGAAATTTTGAGTAGTTCAGAGAACTGGCAAATGCCACCTTTGACTGGTGATTGTACAGTATCCTTCCTCTGCCACGCCCACCAAGCCAGGCCCACAGAACCGGTAGTAGAAAAATTTGAATCCCCACGACTGCACTAAATCTCTCTATAGAAAAGCAAAATACCTCTCAGGCATTGTCACAAAATCTCCAGAACCGTAAAGCCTACAAACTTGAAATTTGGCACGTATGTTCCTCTTGGCTCCTAGGTGCTCACTAAGAAAGGATTTTTCAAAATGACCATCAGAGCATTTAGAGTATTTCGTATATTATTATTAACACGCTCTGATGCTAAGGAGTTCTTCTCCCCCTCCCCACCTGAAAAAAAATCTCTTCCAAATGCAAAACACAAGCAAAGGGGAGGAGTCTCAGTTTCAGTTTCACAACAGCAACCAGTTTTAGTACAGAACAGTTGAGCTAAACCACGCCCAGGCTCCTTGCTGTCTCCTTGCTCACACAGCAAATACTGTTTCAGTTTCCAAACAGCCCTCAACTCTCTCACACACTGACAGGACGCAGATGAATACTGATGGATGCCGGTAGGAAGAGACAGAATTTCCCCCCCTTTTTTCCTCCCCAAAAACTAAGCCTCACCACATAGTTTCGAGCTAGTATATTTAATAAATAAGTTTCCACGGAAAGGCCCTAGACAAGATGCTAATAGCCTTGTTTGGAACTCTGCAACATTTCTACCCGCATTCAACAGTAGTAGTGCAGATAGACAACACAGAAATTTGGGAGAAATGAATTTGTTGCAGAGTTATCTCTATAGATTCTCAAGGAAACTCCTTGGAGGGTTATCAAGATATAATGAGACTATGATCACTTCCCCCTAGCTGTGGGAAAACGCAAGTTACATGGTTCCAAGGCAGAACAGAAAACAGAAGGTACCCTTATATTTACCCTGACCGAAGTTGAACAGGGGTAATTAAATTCTGAGAGCCACATAAAAGAGATTACTTAGGCAGGAAAAAAATTAAATCCAGACTGCAGGATAGATAATCTCTTTTCTATCAAGGATGGGAATACATTCCAATGGAGCAAATTCTTACACCTTCCGAACAAGGTAATAACATAAAACCCCACCGTTTTACTTTACATTATAATATTTACTGGCCATTTCTATAACAACAAACCTATCTAATCAGCAAAACCCCAAAACCAGTTTCATTTTTTCCCACCTCTAAGTCCAAAAGTGGTTTCCAAGTAAAAATTAAATTAAATAAAGCAACTATCTCTGCTAACCCCGTCAACTTTTGCAGTCATTCATCTACTGTGGAAATCACAATGTCTTTCCATTTTTATGCATGAAGTAATGTTATTGCTACCAACATATATAACATAATAAACCAGTAGGATTTTTTCTGTTGAAGGTTTAATGTCCCTGATAGGGCTTTCCTCACCTCTCATTTACAAGGTAATCTTCCTTAACCTGATGCCAGTGGTGGTATTCATTTTTTTTATTACGGGTTCTGTGGGTGTGGCTTGGTGGGTGTGGCAGGAGAAGGTTACTGCAAAATCCCCCTTCCCTCCCCACCCACTAACCTGCTTTCCAGCTCCGTTCTTCTGTACAGGGCAACAAAAGAAAACCCAGCTGATCAACTGGGACTTGGGAGGCAGAGAATTGATGGGGTTGGTGGGGCCAGTCAGAGGTGTTATTTGCCGGTTCTCCGAACTACTCAAAATTTCCACTACCAGTTCTCCAGAACTGATCAGAACCTGCTGAATACCCACCTCTGTTTCACATGCCTGCGTCCCATGGATGGGGCTACATTTGTTTGCACGGCCTGGTTTCTCACATACTGCAGCCTGGTACCGGTCCACGGACTGGAGGTTGTGGGTTGGGAGGGTGGGGCTTGATTTAGAGAATACCAATTTGAATTAACTCTGCTATTCATATTGTCACCACAGTGCGCATAAGATACTGAGAATTGAAAACTGGCATGGATATGAGATTCTTTATCCGGAAGCTGGCGGAGCTGATAGCAGAGTTGGAGGAGGTTGGGGAGGGACCAGGCCATTCTTGGAGGCTGAGGAAAGCTCAGAGGAAGGCTCTGCATCAGAGGCAGAGATGGGCCCAGGGCAGGCTGGCAGTCATCAGTTGCCTTCGGGCTCAGATAGCAGTGAGGCGGGGAAACTTCTGGAATCGGTTCCCAGCCCTGCGCATGCACAGAGCTGCCAAAAGGAAGGCACAATTAAGAACTCAGGGAGAGCAAGGCCACAGGTGGATGATAAATGGCCCTTCCCTTCAGGATTAAAAGAGAAACAAAAGGGGAGGGGGCTTTTTCAGGAAACAACTTGCTCGTTCGTTTGTCCATTTGTTCCAGCCTCGTGGAGATTTGTCTGTATAACCCAGTCCTTCCCTGTCAGCACTGAGTGTGGAACTACTTACTGGGCAGCGTTCCAGG